AATTACCGAGTGCCTAAGTTTAAAGTATTAAAACAAGATACTGTTAACATCGTAGGTACTTATGGCGAAAGAAATTCATAACATTTATTATGGTTCGAATATCGATAAACTCTCTATCTACATCACTAAACCACGGCTCAAGGCTCTATAGCGTTTAGCTACGAGCTGTTCTTCAAAACGGTGGTCTATAATTAATCAAACGCAAACATCCTTCATTAATAACCATAAAATATGGTTTATTATAATAAAAAATTGAATTAAAATAGTGGCCCGAACTAGATGTTTTTGAAGCAAAAAAATAACAAGGTTTTAAAACGTTGTAATTAGTGGTCGTGATCCTATTATTACCATTTCAAGTATGGCGTAGACATGCTTAAAACATGGTAAAGTACCGACGAAAGAAAATTAGATTAAAAGGGTAGGTAAATCAGGAAGATCAGTCGGTTTTTTTAGACAACCATACATTGCTACCTACTGACCGCTTTTGTATTACTTTGCGAGTAGTTAGATTATCAATCTTGGATAAAATATGTTGGGAAAAGAAGTAAAGTAAGTTACAATCAGACATAATTATGTAGAGTTGGACTCAAAAGTAAATCGATTTAGGTTTAAGCAGTCAGTTAGTCCAAAAACATTTCATTTCGTCGAATCCCTATAAGAAGGAAAATAAATAGTGATAAAGATTAATTATCTTAGGATATGGCTCAGCTAGAAAACTTTTCATTATTATTACGCTTATGTCTTCTTCCTACGAGTTATTCTCAAGACAAGCGAAAGCGTTAGGAGCGCATTAGACGGTGGAAGATCGTCGGCTCAGCGTGAGTCTTGATAACGGCTCGTGGTATCAACGACCACTCTTACAAGGATACAACTTATGACGATGAATGTACGAGTTATTAAAACGATTCTCAGATTGCAGTGTTAGGCTACATCAGTTATAGTAGTTGCAATTCACGAAGGCGCGTGAGTTTTACATGTGCGGTGGCCCGCTACTGTGTGCTTACCATGAGTTTACGTTAGGTGTGCTCGCTAGCGAGTACGTCAAAAAATCTATGAATATTTTATTTCTTGAAAGTAGCCACTAGGGGCGCTGCACAATATGTCATTTTTTTACGCAGTCGCTTGCGAGCAGACCTAACGTAAACTCATGGTAAACACACTGATCGTTTTTCAAAAGTTTTCATAGTCATTACACTATCGTTATGTACGTACACGCACATGCACACCCACACCAGTAAAACTCACCTGCCTTTGTGCGTTGCAAGAACTATATTTTTTAGTTTCACATGAGTTTGACTTTGAATCTAGAGGTCTCATCTTTAGAGTTGCGTAGTGCACTAATCAATTGAAATCATTTTATCAGCTGTCAATACACAGCTCTCCCATTGATATTGTATGGGATAGAAAAGCTATGACGTTACTTTTTGGCCAACTTAGTGGAGCTAATGTATTTATTTATTTCGAAAGCTACTAAAATCATATTTTAAGGTTAATAAGTAGTACTAATTGCCTTTTCATTATTGATTTGTGATGTCAACTAGCCAGTTGCAGATTCCTGACTTTTAATTTTTGGGCTTACATTAATGCGAATAAATCATTCCAATACCGAATCAACCAAACCCGTATAATCTCTTTGCGTAAACAACGCTACTCTACGGAATTGTCATCACAAATAAATTGGATTATCAATATGACGCGTCGGAACCAATTAACGTGCCGCGGTTTTTAATGGGCCGGCATTATCTGCCCGCAGTAAATAAGCGTTATCGATTGCCGCCTGTTTTGTATCGATGCTGCAATATGGAAAGTTTTTTGAGAGGTTAAAGTCTAGTGTCTAGTGGAAAAACGCCCATGTCCAAGGGATCCTTTAGATACAGGCTAGGACTATTTTAAAGGTAACTCTGCTTGACAGTGAAAGAAACGACAACACCTCTATGAAGTAAGTAGGTATTCGACTTTTTTGACAAACTAATTTGAATAGCTGGGAAAGCCTTTGTCCAGCAGTGGGGGCTTATTTTAATACTTACTTAATATTTAGGTGGGAGTAGGACACATGTAATATGAAATTGTAGGATTCTCAACTCAATAGTGCGAATTATTAAATATGATTCTATTAGGTAACTGGATTGATTAGAGTCCTTTTGGTTCGAACATGTACGGAGCTTTTTGTACTCCTCGTCTAATTATGCCATTGTTCTTTATTATAAGACGTAGACTACTTATTGTATTTATCTATTCGTGATTTATGTAACTGATTAAAAGCTTCTACCGCAAATGAAGGTAGTAGGTACACGTTAAATTTTGGAGTATGTAACAATAAATTGGTTCTTGAATATTGAAAGTCGGTACATAATATTTTTTGGCATAGTCAATTGTTTACACTTGTCGTTTCCATTGCTTTTGGCAATCTCCTTCGCTATTGTTTCGTAGTAAACAATCCAACATTACGTGCACAATTCTTTCACATTACATCGTAGCAACTGTTAAAGCAGTAAGATCGTGTCGCTTTACGATTTACGTTCATACGACGCTTTTAGGTGTTTACTGCGCCGTCTAGACTGGATGGTTTACGGGACCCAGCTAATGTTTCACATTTGAGCTAAATTCAAGATTTGCGAGATATTATCTGCAGCTGAAACGTTTTAACGCGTTTTCACTTACCTGTTAATAGGTTATAAATATTAAATGTAGAGCTAAAATGGATACAGTGTTGATTTCTATTTACAATATTCATAGGACTGCTGTTAATGGCATTAGCATGAATTATCAAATATAATTTGTATCGAAATACAAATATTTGAAATACTAAATTGTTTGCTTAGTTACAATAAATTTAGTTTGAGTAGGTATTTTGTTTTTCTTGGCTATTTTCTAGCAAAAGTACAAATAACAAGTAAATTAATCGAGACAAATTACAAGTATAGGTACTAATGTCATTCAATTTCTACAGTAAAAAATATGAAACAATACATGTAATTAGGTAGGTACAAATCTCTTTTGATAAATAGTAAAATATTCATCTCTAGATCTTAAAAGTAATTTCAATTGTGAAAAATATCTTTGCGTCATAAATAAACCATACTTACACTTAGCTATAAAGATATATAGCCATAATAGCCATAATAGCCTATAGCCATAATGTAACTAACAATGATTTCAAACAATACTTACTTCGTTTGTTTACGCTCGTGCTTTCAGCGTCACTTATCCACGGTGATAAAATACAAGGAAATACAGTCTTTTAATAAAACTTGGCAGGCGATGCATGTTGCGGTAGATCATGGACGCAAAGTGGGTCATAAATTCGTTGTTATTGCTCGTAGAGTCATTGAATGCGGTCTCAAGGTGACCTTATTTACCTTGTAGCTCATGTGCGACAAGGAAATAAGTACTTACACAGTGAGACAAACTCTTATCACGCTGGTATTTATAGGTAGGCCGGTTAAATGAGTCCTCGCCTGCGGAACGCGGGGTCACAGGGGCGTGACGAAAACGGGGATCGTACGGGGTGCGGGCGGCAGGCGCATTCTTGTCAAAATTCATTTCGCTGGCGATGCGGCTAGCGAACGCTTGTGTTATTTGTTACGGACGCTTTTTGAGGGCTATACATGAGATTACATTTTTAAGATGAGTCGAAAGATTTTCGGACATAAAATTAACAGTCAGTGCAAGCAAATAGCTTTTAACGTTTATGAATATTTTAGAAAAAAAAAACTGGATCCAAATTCTGATGAATATCAACAAGATATACCGTTAAACAAAACCGTAGCAAACGTTACTGGACTATCGGAAAAGACTGTATCTAGAATTGTACAACAAGGAAAATTATTAAAAAACAATGAAAAATTTAAATCACCGAAGAAATTGAAACAAAGCCGCAGGAAAAGGGTGGAAGTAGATGATTTCAAAAAAGGCGTGGTAAGAAGAAAAGTTACTCAGTATTACACAATTTTTTAAAAAATACCAACTCTGAAATCCTTGAACGCTACCCTTAGAGAAGATAATGTATTATACTGCGGCAGAGAATATTTAAGATTATTATTACATGACCTAGGTTTTAAATTTAAAAAATGCGGATCTAAAAGGAAACTCCTTATTGAACAGCCAAATATAACATCGTGGAGGTGGAAATATCTAAATACTATTAAAAAGTATCGTAGAGAAGGAAGACATATTTTATATCTTGATGAAACTTATGTCAATGCGTCTCATAACGTTTCAAAATGTTGGCAATCAAAGGATGAACACGGAGTATTGTCTCATATTGGTAAAGGAGAGCGTTTGATCATCATACATTGTGGTGGCTACACTGGATTTGTCGATGGAGCACTTGTGATATTTAAATCCAAATGTAAAACAGGTGATTATCACGATACAATGAATTTCGTGAATTTTAGTAAATGGCTAAATGAAAAGCTGATGCCTAATATTCCACCAAATTCAGTAATAGTAATGGATAATGCAGCTTATCATTCGGTTAGAGTAGAAAAAAAGCCGACTATGGCCTCTACCAAGCCAGAAATGCAAGATTGGCTACGACGACATGAGGTGCCTTTTGATGATAAATTAAAAAAGGATGATTTATCCAAATTAATTAAAAGCCATTACACAGAGGACATATATGTTGTAATTAAAGACATGAGTTTGGTAGTCAACTGTTTATTTTACGGTTGGTACGATTGATACATGTGCAACCCAGTGTTGCCACCCACAACATCTCCCCCCTTCTTTTTACAATAATAAGAAACTTATTATAACTAAATTATTACAGGTAGAATTTTACTATTAAAGTAATTGTAACAGTTTGTACTAATGACTACAAATACAAAATGTGCTTAAGACCTTACCATACTTTTGGTTTAGTTTTACCAGTCTTACTGCGGGTTATAGGAGGAGAATACGGCCTGCTTATGACCTTACCATACCTATATATTATGTGTCACCGTGTCCGGCAATGACNACAATGAATAACACGCGTTGCTAAGCAACCATAAAGAAGGTCAGACATGACACGCCTCCGCCGCGATTCCTGGCTGCGGCACTGCTGGCACCAGTGGCGCCGGCAGCAGCTGGTCCAGATGGCGCGTCCAGGTCAAACCACCGTCCGTACGCACGATATAGTGCAGCTTGCCCAGGCGCTGTACCACTGTGGCAAATGTCCACTTCTGAGCGGAGCTTCCATATAGTCTAGCCTGCACTCTGTCTCCACAAACAAAATGTCTTGTTTGTAAGGCCAATGTGTCACTAGTTCTCGATGGAGTGACTGGTGGGGTTTTGAGCATAGTATGAAGTCTAGTCCTTACTTCTCGGCCAAACATGAGCTCGTAAGCTGAGTGTCCACTAGCGCCAGGGGTACGCCTCAGTCGGTATTTAATCTCTAAGAGTTTATCCATTAAGTCACCTCTCTCCCCCGCCATTGCACGTAGTGCTCTCTTGATGGTCTGTACGAACCTTTCAGCTTGGCCGTTGGTCGCTGGGTGGTATGGTGCGGTTTTTCGGTGTGTTGTTCCGCATTCTGTCATAAAATTTTCGAATTCTGTTGATGTGAATTGGCGGCCGTTGTCTGAAACTAATATGTGAGGTATTCCGAAAGTGACAAATAATTCTTTTAATCTTTTTATGCACCATGAACTTGTAGTGGTTTTTGTTGGGATTATTTCAACCCATTTTGAAAATGCGTCAACGATAATGAAAAGATAGTGTCCATTTGATGGACCTGCGAAGTCGATATGAAGTCTTTGCCATGGACCGTTTGGTTCTTCCCAGTGATGAATAGGAGCTCGAGTTGGTTGATTCTGTTCTAAACGACATGCTCTGCAAGATTTTACTTTATTTTCTATATCTTTGTCTATGTTCTTCCAATAAACATAACTACGAGCCAGTAACTTCATTTTTAGAATACCAATATGGCCCGCATGTAATTCGTTTAGTATCTGCATGTGTAAGTTTTGTGGAATAAATACCCTGCTTCCTTTTAAAATGCAATCATTTTGTAGAGTAAGTTCATTATCTTTGTACCCATAATGTTTCAGAGATCGTCCTGATTTCAGGGCTTCTAGTATCGGCTTGAGTTCATTATCTTTAGCAGTTTCTCGAGCGATGACTTGCGGCCCTATCTCCAGTGTGTTAATTTGCTGTATTTGGTACGCACAATGCTGGTCTATTGAATTTTCTTTAACATTTTCTACAGGAAATCTGGATAGGTAATCTGCATTGGAGTTATTCTTTGAAGTTCGGTATTCAATATTGTAATCAAATCCAGATAAAAAATGTGCATAATGAAACAATCTCATGGTGCTGAGGGCTGGCAAGGTTTGGTTCGGGTGAAAAATCGAAGTTAATGGTTTATGATCAGTAATTAGTGTAAACTTTCGGCCGTAACAGTAATGGAAGAATTTCTTTAACCCCCAATGTATAGCTGTTGCTTCTTTGTCAATTTGACTATACTTCTTTTCACTTGAAGTTAAAGATCTCGACGCAAACGCGATTGGCCGTTCGGACCCATCAGGGTATCTATGAGAGAGAACAGCTCCCAATCCGAGCGGTGACGCATCAGTAGCTAGAACAAGTGGCCTGGCTGGATTAAAATATGTCAATACTCTTTCGCTGAGAATTTCTTTCTTTATATTATCAAAACTGGTCTGGCATTTCGAATTCCATATAAATTCCGTTCCTTTCTTTAGTAATTCATTCAGAGGGTTTGTAATTGCTGTTAGATTTGGTATAAATTTATTATAGTAATTTGCCATGCCGAGGAATGTACGTAATTCATTAACGTTTTTCGGTGGTTTCGTTTGACATATAGCTTTTACTTTGTCTTTGTTTTTGTGTAAGCCATGTTCGTCAATAGTGTGACCTAGGTAGTTAATACTGCGTTTAAAGAAGTGACATTTTTCTTTATTCACTCGCAGATTGCTCTCCTTAAGTTTTAAAAGAACTTCTTTCAATCGTTGACATAATTGACTTTCAGATGATCCTTGAATAATTATGTCATCAAAGAAACATTTTACTCCTCTTAGTCCTTGAAGTAGTTGGTCCATAAATCTTTGCCAAAGACTTGGTGCTACTTTGACTCCAAACATTAGTCTATTAACCTTGTATGTTCCTTTATGTGTGCTAAGGGTTTGTAGTAAGGCGCTCTCTTCGTCCATTTCCATATTTAAGTATGCTTGCGTAATGTCAAGTGTACAGAAAATTTTGCCTCCATTCATCTCCGAGAATATGTCTTCAATTATTGGAATCGGATATTTTTCATCTTGTATAACTTTATTCAATGTTATCTTGTAGTCAGCGCAAAGTCGAATTGAACCATTAGGTTTTACAATTGGAACGATCGGTGTGCCCCATTCAGAATGATCTATTTTTGTAATTACGCCTATTTTGCAAAGGCGATCGATTTCTTCATCTACTTTCGGTTTAAGAGCGTAAGGGATTCTTCTAGGTTTTATAAAAATTGGTTGTGTGTTCTCTTTTAAATTGAGGTGTGCCTTGTAGTTGGGAATTTTACCAAGATCAGTTCGGAATACAGAAGATGCAAATTCCTCCAACAATTGGTCTAATATATTATTTTGAGATACTGATTCAACTAATCGAACATCTGCTAGTTCAATGTTTAGTTCTTTCATCCAGCTTCTACCAAATATTGGATCAACATTTTTGTCAATGATATACAGTTTACCATAGAAATTTTGATTTTTGTAAATTCCTTTGATGTAAACGACTCCATAAGGTTTGATTATTTCTCCGGTGTAAGTTCTCAGTTTCATATCAGTTTTGAAAATCTTTTTATTGATATTCAGGGCATTGTAGTCAGCAAGGGACATCGATGACAATGAAGCACCCGTGTCAAATTCCATCTTAATTGTTCTATTTTCTATGGTGATAGTAATCATATATCTTTCTGTGACTTCACTTTTGATGAGGTTAATATCAGCTATGCTTTCATCACTTACAGAATTCAATCCATCATCAATCTGATTAGTCTGTGTTCGTTTCAAGCATACTCTTGCCAGATGTCCTACTTTCTGACATTTTCGACATGTAGAGTTGATTGCTCCGCATTCATTTGCACGATGATCAGGCTTCCCACAGCGAAAACATTTACCTGATAGGTCTTTAATTGACCTCGGTGATTTTCGATTCATATTCTGCATTGCTGGTTTTTTATTAGAACTGATTATTTTGTTGATGCAGTCAGTACGTTTTTCAATATCAGATGTAATTTTTAAGCTCTCTGTTTTACCCAATTCATTTGCTGAAGCTATTTGTAGTAATTTAGCAAAAGAAGATGTGTCCGGTTCTTGTAATATTTTCGTACGAATTTCGCCATCTTTAAGTCCTCGTATAAATTGTAGAGATAGGAAGCTTTCTGCGGTAGTTTTCTTGCAATTCATGCATTTGAATTCACAATTTGATGAAAGTTTCTTAAGTTCTGATGCGTACATTGCAATGGTTTCATTCTCTTGTTGTATTCGGGAGATAAATTTATGTTGTAAAGCCCAAATGCTGGGTTTAGGGTCGATGTATTCGTCCAATATTGCGGTAAGTTCTTCATAAGTTTTATGTAGTGGATCGTCTGGTGCACACAGATCATATAATTTCTCATGAAGTTCTGGTGGTAATGTAGATAGCAGAATGTATATTTTTGTTCTAGGCTCAACGATTTTATTTATTAGAAAATATACCATCAATCTCTTATTAAAATTTCGAAACGACTCTTTTTCGTGTAATGGTTGAAATTGTAATTTCGGTACATGTCCAGTTGCAATGTTTGTAATCGGAGCTGTATTTTGTGATTCCTCATAGGTGGATCTATTGTTAGTACGTAATTTCAAGAGTTTCGTTTTTAAAGTAGTGCATAATTCTTCTATTTCGTACCTTATTTGAATTTCCTGTTCTAACAATTCTTCGTCCACTTGAGATTCTATTTCTTCTTGTGTTTCTAGAAATTTTTGTAATGTATTTTCCAATGACTGTAGTCGTGATTCAATCTCTTCGTTACATAAGTTTTCATGCAAGTTTAGGTAATTTTCTGTTCGTGTAAGGGTTCCTCGTAGTGCAGCTCGCACTCTTGTGTAGTTTTTATTTGAAATCGGCATCCTGTCGCCAATTTATTACATAAAATAATATACTTGATAAAATATTGAATGTTTATTTACATGACTGTGTCATAACAATGAATAACACGCGTTGCTAAGCAACCATAAAGAAGGTCAGACATGACACGGTCATACTATAATTTTAGCCTGTGCTCTTAGGCTGGGTTGCACCATCTTATTTTAACTTTGACAAACGTCAAAAATCTGTCAAACTCCACACAAAAAACACCGGTTATCGTCAAAGTTACGGTCAAAGTTAGGTGGTGCAACTCAGCCTTAACAATGTGTTTTTTTGTTGTTGTTAGTTCGAGAAGAGATCTCTGCATTGACGTCAATGAATCAGCCGACGACCTGATAAAGGTAGCAGGAAGGCGCTGGATGCAGGCCGGTACCAACCGTGCGATGTGGAAGTCATTGGGGGAGACCTATGTTCAGCAGTGGTCGTCCTGTGGCTGAAATGATGATGCTGATGATGAATATCAGCGAATATTTTTATCAGGAAAATCTGGAGTTTTCTGGGAGTTTCACTCCTACGAAAGTACCAGGAATGTATACTTCAGAAGACATAAGGGACTGATCAGCAAATCAGCTGTTTCCGTGGGAGTGTCATCGCTCCAAAACTACCAGGCTTGCATAGGCCTGAAAGAGGTATGTCACATCACATTGCGTGTTGCGGTAGGACGCTCGTAAAAATAATTTAGTGTGCAGTCATTAGCGCCGCCGCGCCATCTGCCGGCACGTAATGCACTTAAAACGACGGAACAGCGCCGTGTTTTTGTTTCGTTTCACGTAATACGTTTAGAGGGAGCAAAAGCGAAGTGCATTTTAGGATAGCACTCTGACGCTGTACAGTTTTAGGATGGAAGTTTTAAGTAATTTGATGTACAAGTCACGTTATTGAGCTGAATTTCTAGAATTTAATGATTTAAAATGTAAGCAGGATTGCTAACCAATCAGCGCCCAGCTACTTTGGAAAAAATAAATCAGTATTATGGAACTAATTTACACTTAGGTACCTTCAACGCGTATTGTATGTTTGTCCATTATCTTATCGTAATGACGTGGTTGTAACAATCCTAATGTGATATTAATACAGCTACACATAAGGCTATCTTATACACATTTTCATTATGATATAGCATCTATTAAAGCTATACATGGCACAACATTAACTTTGATGTGCCGTCAGCTTACCAAAACAGCATCCCATACAACGCATCTCTTATGTAAACTAATTTTGCATTAGGGACTTACACAGCCTGATTTTGCGTCGCTTTTCCAGTCACCGTGAGCAAACTTAGCGACACAAAATGAGTTATTAAGAGCAAAGCAGCTGCGCCCAGCTCGTGCTCACTTGATCAGGTTTTATGGTAATTACATTGGGTGTCTCATAGGGCCGACAAAAACAACATATAGCTATCAAAGTCCGTTTCACAGGGTTGAAAAAAGTAACTAAAAGTAACGGGAATTCCCCCAACCTCGTTCTAAACAATTGAGTTTTTATGCAAGTTTAAAATTTTTATATAGAGCAACAGGAATTGATTTTTTTTTACTTATATACACATCATTATTATTTAGTCTATAGCACACGTATTACGTACACCATAAGCCCTTTAAAGAACGCCACAAAGCAAGACCATAAAATAAAACTCACAAGTTCGTGTCAACTTTCTTTCGCTCAATCTTACCTAAGTGGGTACTTACGTACAAGGAAACCTTATGATCTTATGCAAATTGTAATAGGTGATATTTAGCAAAAAATACCTATTCAGATGTGCCTGCATAGTACCAGCCCATAAATCAATAAGTTCTTCATTCGGTGATATAAGACATACATTACCACCTGTCGTCGTTCTCCCAAGTCGTCAAGCGTCACGATTTTCCCCAAAAAAGGGGTACCTGATTGATACGCTGGATGATCCGTGGAACCCTGACAGATGCCAGCGCCAGCCCTCATGTTATGTTGAGGATAGATTGCCCACGTCTCTAGTTAAATTGAGTGCGAAACGTCTTCCAGAGTGATTGGTTTTTATTTTATCGCCCACATCACGCTTTTTTATGCGATAAAACATAAAAACGACTGGAATTGTCCAGGCACATGCTTCATAAAGTAGATTACACTGTATGTAGTAAAATAAACGCTTGAAATACTTTTACACAAATAATCGTTAGCAATAGGTGTGACCATTAGATTATGTTATGTCGAGTAAAACGAAGTTTAAAATAATAGTTTGATACCAACCGATCGAAGTGGAAATCTATGGGGGAGTCCTATGTTCTTCAGTGGACGTCCTGCGGTTGGGAAATGATGATGGACGATGAACTATTTTTGTGATTCTGATAAACATCTAACAGTTACAGACAGCTCTATTAACTCTATATTGACCCATGTTGCCAACATTGTACCTACTTTTAGAACTATACAGTCCCTGACAAGCTAAGGAAAAGCATTCATTAAGTTTTCGGCAGCCATCTTACTTTGTTTGCGTGGCTAATAAAAGTCGAAGCATAAGGCTGAAAGCAAAAGTTAAACACGGCAAATTAAACGCGACGGTGCATTATAGACTGACGATTCATCGGCGGTCTCTCCTGAGTGCTCGTCTGGGGAACTGTTCCATTGAACCACGATAAATCTAAATACATAAAACTCACAGGTGACTGACATATAGTGATCTATCAACGCACAGCCCAAACCACTGGACGGATCGGGCTGAAATTTGGCATGCAGGTAGATGTTATGACGTAGGCATCCGCTAAGAAAGGATTTTACGAAACTCCACCCCTAAGGGGGTAAAACGGGATCCACGCGTACGAAGTCGCGGGCGGCCGCTAGTGTAGATATAAAAATTTACAACATCATATCAGACACGTAGAGCAGTGTCTAGATCATTGGTCAGGAAAAGCTAATCGTGGCAATTACCAAAGAGAGGAGATAAAGAGTTGCCTATCATCATACAGGGTGTATCTGTAGAGACAGTGAGTACCTACTGGTATATGTACTAGAGAGATGGTGGAGAGGTGTGGACTAGCCACTGACATACGAATTCAAAAAGACAAATCCTTATTCAAGAATTTGAATTATAATCTATTTGGAATAGCAAGAGGCTGGATATCTTAACCTCTCTCTCTTCATCCCTGGTGTCATCGAGGCAGAGTTCATCTCTGTTTTGATAACCTATATCTCAATGAATATTTAAAACATCTCTCCAAGAAGCAAGGTAAGTTCTCTTCTCGGATCGTGTCCAACACTGGACACGAACCCACGGCTCTTCTTAGTTAATAACACGGTTTACGACGGAGTGACGTCGCCATTAGTTTTATACGTTTACGTTTATTAGCGGGCACGATTCGCCAGGTTATTTCACACACGGCTGGCTCGTCCGCCCTCATTGTGTAAATACAGCCTTCATAGTCGCTATGAGTGTGATAGACACTTTTTAATACGCTATAATAGTTGCTATGAATGCGAAAGACACTTTTTAATACGCTACCGCAGGTAACGCTACTTCACATAGACGCAGAGAGCAGAAATAACAGGAGTAGCAGCGCGCGTTTATTTCCATACAAAAAAATTTCGCCATTTCCTGAGGGGGACGAGGTAATGACATTNAGTTAGTAGTTTGCTAGTAAATCGACCAACTGATGATTTTTGAGCACGCTACCTGAGGAGCGGGGTAGTGGGGGCTGCGTTTAAAGCATGTCTGAACGTGTTTGCTTTGTAGCATGCTTGTTAGTAGCAAGCAGTGAGTTTAGTCAGTTTATCGCAGCACAAACTTCGGGTATAGCTACAGATACACATGCTCGAAAGTAGCACACTACTAAGCATGCTTGACAGCATGCTAATATTGAGTATGCTATTGTACTGGGTACACATGCTAGGTATTGGCATGCTAGTTTTGAGTATGCCGTTGTATTAGCATGCTCAAAGCAAACATCCCAGTCACATTTGCTACAGAACTCTTGTTGGTAGTACAAGCGCTGCCTTGAAATGAATAATCAATTAGCTATTCGTACTGAACTCAATAAAATTGTGTTTTTGCTCGCGGTGAAATGTACTTAAAATTGTTGCCATTTTACGCACAACCAACACTGAACTGACTAAACTCGCTGCTTGCTACTAACAAGCATGCTACAAAGCAAACACGTTCAGACATGCTTTAAACGCAGCCCCCACTACCCCGCTCCTCAGGTAGCGTGCTCAAAAATCAACAGTTGGTCGATTTACTAGCAAACTACTAACTAGCATGCTATTTTCCAGCAAGGCCCAATACACACATGCTACTTGATAGCATTTGCTCAAAAATAGCATGCTTTCGTGCTACTTTCGAGCATGTGTATCTGTAGCTTATAAATTGAGATATAGTAGATCTTGCCACTCGGTGAAATGCCTCTAATGTGTGCAAAGAATCTCCAACAGCTAGAAATTTCAAAGTGATTTCTAATTTAACTCCAGCAGGAATAGCATCTCGCAGATGTGTGTCCCGCTTTTGTATAGAGGCTTCAACTTTTGAAAGTAACGTATCAAATTGATGAGGCAACATGCGTAAATGGTTTTTATAGCCCTCGGTATCTTCGTCTCGCATTTCTGCCAACAAACGAGTGCTCGCTCCAAGATTGGCTCTTCTTGCTATCCAATCACGAACCCAAATCGTTCTATTTCTTGTTTTTTTAGTGTTTTTCAGCAACAATTTTTTAGTACATTTCACCGCGAGCAAAAACACAATTTTATTGAGTTCAGTCCGAATAGCTAATTGATTATTCATTTCAAGGCAGCGCTTGTACTACCAACAAGAGTTCTGTAGCAAGTGTGACTGGGATGTTTGCTTTGAGCATGCTAATACAACAGCATACTCAAAACTAGCATGCCAATACCTAGCATGTGTACCCAGTACGATAGCATACTCAATATTAGCATGCTGTCAAGCATGCTTAGTAGTGTGCTACTTTCGAGCATGTGTATCTGTAGCTTTATAGCTCGCCTGCAGCATGCTAGCTCGCCTGCAGCATGCTAGCTCACCTGCAGCGACTGCGAGAGGCGCACGAAGTCCTGCTGCACCTTCTCGCTGTTGTCGAGCTCCTGTTGCAGTGCGCCCACGCGCCCGCGAAGCTCGGCCGCCTCCGCTGCCAACCGCCGCTGTGGAAGGAAATACGACTTTACAAATGCACAATGTCCCTAGTCAGCTAGCCAGGACTGGCTGGATCTAAGGTCTGGTCCGGGAGCACGTAGAATTTTGTCCAATGACCCCAAGCTACCCATCCTTATCGCTCGCGCGTAATTTTATTGCTGTCGCAACTATGGGACGGGCGCCCGCAGTGAGTGTGCGTGCGTGACAGCAACATAATTACGTGCGAGCGATAAGGATGGGTAGCTTGGGGTCATTGGACAAAGTTTTACGTGCTCCCTGACCAGACTATATCTGTTATCATAAAACAATGTGAGATTGAATCGTAACAAGTGGGTCAAGTCACCTTGTCATCGAGCAGCTGTTCCGTGAGGTCGTTGGCGGCCCGCAGTTTGTCCCCGAGCTCCGACAGCTGGCCTCGCTCCGTCTGCAGCTGCTCCAGTTCTTTCCTGCCGAAAACACAAACTCGTCGTAACCAAAACACTAGACGTGATCCGTCAAAGGTCATTCCACATTTCAGGGATACCTGTAGATCAGTCTTTCCCAAAGTGGGCGATAACGCCCCCTTGTGGGCGCTGCAGGCTTAAAGGGGGGCGGTAAGAGACCCAGAAAAAAAATCGGGACATTGTGTAGAGGCTTGGGAGGCGTCATCTACTAGGAGGACTCTTAGACATCGACTGAGCTCGACTCTTGACTACAAAAATGGGGGGGGCGCTAAAAAATAATTTATTCTCAAAGTGGGCAGTAGACTAAATAAGTTTGGGAACCACTGCTGTAGATGAACGAAAACAACAAAAAACACAGCAAGATTCGCTCGGAATCCTGCCGGGTTTGGTGCGTGCGCCCTGCGAGTGCGGACTCCCCACGGGAGCCAGGCTCGGATGACCTGGCGTCGCTGTGCTCGGCGCGCGCGGCGGCCAGCGCGGCGTCGTGCTGGTGCAGCAGGCGCGTGTGCTGCAGCAGCTCGTGCTCGGCTCCTGTGGCTGCTGTGACTGTGTGCTCCCACCTGGCGTCGCTGTGCTCGGCGCGCGCGGCGGCCAGCGCGGCGTCGTGCTGGTGCAGCAGGCGCGTGTGCTGCAGCAGCTCGTGCTCGGCTCCTGTGGCTGCTGTGACTGTGTGCTCCCACCTGGCGTCGCTGTGCTCGGCGCGCGCGGCGGCCAGCGCGGCGTCGTGCTGGTGCAGCAGGCGCGTGTGCTGCAGCAGCTCGTGCTCGGCTCCTGTGGCTGCTGTGACTGTGTGCTCCCACCTGGCGTCGCTGTGCTCGGCGCGCGCGGCGGCCAGCGCGGCGTCGTGCTGGTGCAGCAGGCGCGTGTGCTGCAGCAGCTCGTGCTCGGCTCCTGTGGCTGCTGTGACTGTGTGCTCCCACCTGGCGTCGCTGTGCTCGGCGCGCGCGGCGGCCAGCGCGGCGTCGTGCTGGTGCAGCAGGCGCGTGTGCTGCAGCAGCTCGTGCTCGGCTCCTGTGGCTGCTGTGACTGTGTGCTCCCACCTGGCGTCGCTGTGCTCGGCGCGCGCGGCGGCCAGCGCGGCGTCGTGCTGGTGCAGCAGGCGCGTGTGCTGCAGCAGCTCGTGCTCGGCTCCTGTGGCTGCTGTGACTGTGTGCTCCCACCTGGCGTCGCTGTGCTCGGCGCGCGCGGCGGCCAGCGCGGCGTCGTGCTGGTGCAGCAGGCGCGTGTGCTGCAGCAGCTCGTGCTCGGCTCCTGTGGCTGCTGTGACTGTGTGCTCCCACNTTGTTGTAATTAAAGACATGAGTTTGGTAGTCAACTGTTTATTTTACGGTTGGTACGCTTGATACATGTGCAACCCAGTGTTGCCACCCACAACATCTCCCCCCTTCTTTTTACAATAATAAGAAACTTATTATAATACTAAATTATTACAGGTAGAATTTTACTATTAAAGTAATTGTAACAGTTTGTACTAATGACTACAAATACAAAAGGTGCTTAAGACCTTACCATACTTTTGGTTTAGTTTTACCAGTCTTACTGCGGGTTATAGGAGGAGAATACGGCCTGCTTATGACCTTACCATACCTATCACCCCCCTTATTGTTATTATGTGTCACCGTCACCGGCAATGATGGCACACTTTTAATCAAATGTCGGCGATTGCGACGATAAATACCCATCTTATTTTTAATTATGTAAGAACGCGGAGTTGACGCCTTACCAACAACTTTACCGTGGATTCGTTCATTATTATGTTCTAACATAATTACATCATCACCGACATTTAATTCTGACATGTTTTTACTATGATTGTCATAATACAATTTACTGTGTTTTTGCTTATTTAAAATGTTTTTGTGTTGTAGTGCCATATCGCATGTTTGCGGTTTCAATAAGTCTGGATGTACTGGGAGCCTACATTTTAATCGGCGCCCCATCATTAGTTGTGCAGGAGAATTCAAGTTTTCTCTAGGAGTGTTTCTATAACTTAACAAATTTAAATAAAAATCAGTTTTACTGTCAATAGACTTTTTTAACATATTTTTTATGGTTTGCACAGCCCTTTCACTTTTTCCATTGGACTGTGCGTAATATGGAGAAGAAGTAATGTGATTAAATCCCCACTCAAGTGAAAAACTTTTAAAACTATAGCATGAAAACTGAGGGCCATTATCACTTATAACAGTTTCTGGAATCCCATACCTAGCAAAATTTTCTTTTAAAATATTTATCACTGTACTTGAAGTAGTGTCTCTCATACTTGACAATTCAATAAAACCAGAAAAATAGTCTACTATAATTAAATAGCTTTTCTTTCCAAACTCAAATATATCTGTGCCTATTTTATTCCAAGGCAAAGCAGGGATTGATACAGGAAGCATTGGTTCTTTACTTGGTTTGTTTGAATTCTCCCGACAGTCTTTACATCTTTTAACATAATCTTCTATGTCTTTAACTATACCAGGCCAAAACAAAACCTCGCGTGCGCGTCTTTTACAGCGGTCAATTCCTAAGTGCCCATCATGGATAATATCCAGCATTAAACTCCTTAACGAACTCGGAATCAATACTTGTTTATTTTTGAAAATAACCCCATCAACACAATACAGTTCGTCTCTCATTGACCAAAAATAATTTAAATTGTCTTTTACATTATATCTATGACTAGGCCAGCCTTCATTGATATAACTAAGCAACTGATTTAACATTTTATCTTTAGAAGTTTCCCGCTTTACCAAAGACAATTTACTCTCAGACATTGGCACATTACATACAATCATTCTGAGGTGATTTAATATGGCCATACTAATATCACTATCATACAAATCTGGTAACGGCGCACGCGAGAGTGTATCAGGTATATACATGAACTTCCCTGGTTTATATATAAGTTTCAAATCATAGCCCTGAAGCTTTAACATCATACGCTGCAAGCGTGCTGGGACTGCATCCAAAGGCTTTTTAAATATACACTCAAGCGGTTTATGGTCAGATTCCACAATGATTTGTTTTTTTCCGTAAATATACAGCCGTTTAGGAGTAGTAGGAAATTTATTTGGTGAAATTAGAAGAAAGTTAAGAATTTTTTCTGTCAAAACTAATAGTTGTAACAAAAAAAACGAACAACAATTTTTTAGTTTAAGATATTATACATCTCACACATATTTTTTTTTCTTGTTTGGATCATCCATCTAGGAGGAGTAGGGATTCAAAGAGAGGTCTATTTTGCAGTTTTGCCTCACCTATCGCCTTAACATCATACGCTGCAAGCGTGCTGGGACTGCATCCAAAGGCTTTTTAAATATACACTCAAGCGGTTTATGGTCAGATTCCACAATGATTTGTTTTTTTCCGTAAATATACTGGTGAAATTTTTCGCATGCAAACACAATAGCCAGCAGCTCCTTCTCGATTTGCGCGTAGCGTGTCTGCGCGGGCGTCAGCGTGCGCGACGCGTACTCCACGGGCCGCCCGCGCTGCAGCAGCACGGCGCCCAGCGCCACGCCGCTGGCGTCCACCGACAGCAGCGCAGGGCTGTCGACGTCGTACAACGCCAACACCGGCGCATCACTAATAAGATCTTTCAATTTCTCAAACGCTTTTTTATGCTCTGATTCCCAACACCATGTAATATCTTTTTTTAAAAGCCGGGTTAGCGTGAAAGTGTGATCTGAATAATTAGGTATGAACTTAGAAAGGTAATTAACTGCCCCCAAAAATCTCTCTAAGCTCTTTCGATCATTAGGTTCAGGCATATTTTTTATAGCTCTGACCTTTTCTGGGTCTACTTTCATTCCGTGCTTATTAAAGATGTGGCCTAAATATGTAACCTCTTGCACACATATACGACATTTTTCTTTATTAAATTTAAAATTTATTTCCCGCGCTCTGTCTAACAATGCTTTTAATCTTTTATCATGTTCCTCTTTGGTACTCCCCCAACAAATTAGGTCGTCTATGAAAGAATCTACACCCTCCAGGCCTTCAAATAATTGTTTGACTTTTGCATGAAATACTTCAGGTGCACAATTCAAACCGAACGGTAATCTTAAGTATTGGTAACGCCCAAAAGGTGTATTAAATGTGCACAAGTCAGAACTATCACTGTCTAACTTTACAGACCAAAACCCAGAATTTGCATCTAGGACTGAAAAATATTTAGCCCCATGAAGTTTAGTAGCTAATTCATTTATTGTTGGCAACTGAAAATGAGCGCGCTGTATTGCCATGTTAAGAGGCCTCGGATCCAAACATAAACGTAATTGACCATTTTTCTTGGCAGCAATTACAAGAGAATTTACCCATGGTGTAGGATGACTCACCTTTCTTATAACTCCTAATTGTGTCATTCTATTTAACTCCTCTAGTAACTGATCACGCAACCCTAATGGTACTTTCCTCGGAGCACAAACCACCGGTGGTATTTCTTTATCAACTACTATGTGATATTCCCCGGGCAAACAACCTAACCCAGTAAACAAATCATCATATTCTGCCAAATTAATATTATGTATTCTCTGAACTAGTCCTAATGTTGTACAAGCATTAAGTCCCAGCACACTTTGACAATCTATAGAAGCAATAGCAAATTTAAGATTATAAGAAACATTCTTGTAATACCATTTTAAATGACAAATTCCTTTTATAGGAATAGTGTCTCCGCTGTAAGATTGAAGTTTGACATTATTACTCACATCAATATTTTTTGGCTTAAAACCTAACTGTAAGAACCGTTTATAAGACAGTACATTGATATCTGCGCCAGTGTCTAATTTAAATGTTTCTGATCCATTGTCACAATTAAGTATTTCACACCAGTCTTCTGACAAGGACCTAACCTCAGAGACATTATAAAGCATAGATACATAAAACGACTCACAGTCATTTTCTTCATCTAACTCTTGACTCATTCCGATGTCGTATAACTTCTTCACATTTTTCTTTAACTTACACATCCTAGCAAAATGACCATGGTTTTCACACACATAACACTGCACAAAAATAGCTGGACACTGCTTCGATTCACCGCACTGACCGCCACACCTGGGGCAACTCGCGCCCGTGTCGACCGGCAGCTGGCGGCCCGGAGCGCCGCCGCCGCGCCCGCGCCCGCGCCAGCCGCGCCCGCGCCCCCGGCCCGAGCTGCGCGCCCGCACCGCGTCCACGCGCGAGGGCCCGGCGCCAGCGCCCTGCGTCTCCAACAAACGGCCGCTATCCACCGATATCTCGTCGACTTGGCATATTTTTATTGCCTTGTCTAATGTCAAATCCTCTGTTCGCAACAAGCGATCACGAACAACCGTATTTTTTATACCACACACTATACGGTCACGTATCAGTTCAGTTTCCAAAGATTGAAATCCACAAGTTTTTGCCAATAACTTCAATGCAGTGACGTATTGATTGATGGACTCGCCGGTTTCTTGACTTCTTGTAAAGAAATTGTATCTCGATAACGTTATGTTTGGCTTCACACCGAAATAATCATCAAACTTTTTTATCAAGATGGCGACGTCGTCCTTGTCCGAATTTTTCTCAAACGTAAAAGTCTCATATACGTCGAACCCTTCTGGTCCGACCAAGTTGATGAGCAAACTCGCCTGTACCCCATCATCTTCCTTGTGCACCCCTGATGCCTTCAGAAACAGTAAAAACTGCGTCTTCCACCGTTTCCACGCGTCGGCCCGGCCGACGGAGCTGCCCTCCAAACTCAATTCTGGCGGTGGCCGAGCGTGTTCCATAATTAGTACTCGACTGCACGATACAAAAGATTTTCAATTTGAAAGGTTTTTATGATCCACACTGATAAATTATTTTTCTTTAACACCGCTGCCACCATGTTGTAATTAAAGACATGAGTTTGGTAGTCAACTGTTTATTTTACGGTTGGTACGCTTGATACATGTGCAACCCAGTGTTGCCACCCACAACAACTTTACTAAAGTCTCGAGAAGTCTTGGGAAAGTTATCTCTAAGTGATTAACGCCCGTATTCACAAACGATGCTTAAGTGAAGCAGCAAATCGAACGCACAGCGTTGAATAGAGCTCTGTGATTGGTTCGTGTGTCACCCTGTGCGTCCACGCGCGTACTGTGCGACCTCATAATAATGTTTGTGAATACGGGCGTACCTAAGTTTCTAGCATTTTCTAAATGATCTCATAAGTCCCTTTTACTGGATGTTGCCTTGATGTCAGGGCAGCCATCATTACGTTTAATTAATCGCAGAAATTTTTAATTAAATGACTAAGTACTTAGTCCCCATCGTTTTTAAGCTTTGGCCATTTAAATTAGTACG